ACATCAAACAGGATTTGACAGCTTTCAGTTTTCTCCCAGTGCAGACATCACAGGCCACATCTTCAGGTCCAGCATAGCAGTGATCAGCAGCAGCAGCTTGGAGTCCAGTCTTCTTCAGCTCCTCCACTAAAACTGCTAACATGGTGCTTTTCACCAGGACAGGCCTCGGTGTGAAGGTCTGCCTACACTGAGGACAGCTGTGGATTTTCTTCTCATCCCCTTCATCCCAGAAGCTTTTAATACAGTTCATGCAGTAGCTGTGTCCACAGGGAATAGTCACCGGATCCTTCAGTAGATCCAGACAGATCGAACAAGAGAAGCTCTCCCGGTCCAGCTGAACTCCTTTATGCGCCATGTCACCTCTCAGTGGCAACGACTGTCTGAGTTTCACTTTCTCAGAACTGAAACTAGTTTGAGCTCTGATCTGAACAACATGTGTCTCTGCAGTGAACGGGACCTGTCAGCTCTTGCACTTCACCACATGTTGGTTCCACCCATCTTCAAACTGGAGATCTGAAGGGGAGGGAACCAGGAAATATGAGCACAGGGTGGAGCTTGCTGTGTTTGAGAGCAGGAAGAACAGAGAGGGTTGTCGGGGTTGTGTTAATCTGAAAAGAGAGTGTAGCTGTTATTGTAGTGGAGTAAAAAGTATTTCCACCTATAATGTCGAGGAGTAGAAATATAAAGGAGCAGAAAACAGAAGAAGCCTACTCAAGTAAAATACAAGTTCATGTTGCTGGAGACAGCACTCACTCTCATTTATTCTTCCTGAATAAACATCTTTTCTAAAATATGACACTGAGTCTAACGTCTCAACATCAACAATGTTATTATCAATGTTGATATTTATCTTTATCTATTTCATCTCCGCCTGTGTGGCGATACGAGGGTTCATACAATGTTATGGTACAGATTTTAGCTTATGGAATTTGAGGATAAAACAGACAATGCCACCCTGGGAATTGCACTCAAGGAATTGTAAATGAATATAATGGAATAGGGAGGGAGGCAGGTAAGCAATATAAGGAAGGGCAGGAGACGTGGTTCAAGGTCACAAAATAAAATCATCAGATATAAATCATTACAATGTATTGTTTTCACACATACTCAATGTCCATTCGCTATTAAAATGGACACTGAGTAAAGCTTTCGGACAGTTTTCTTTAAAAAACTTTTTACCCAATAAACACTCACGTCAACACTCAAACATCAGGACCTTCCTGTAAAACATTCACATCAACATATTTCAACTCTGTTTCTTCTTTAAAATTTGTATTAATGAACTCTTTGTTTTTCTCCTCTGTTACAGAAAGCTTTGGACATGAAGAGAGAGGAATATGAACGTCTGCCAGGGTGGAAGCAAGTGAATTTAAAGAAGGCCAAAGGACTGTTTTAAGGAGGTTTTTTAAATGGAAGATGGCGTGTGTGTGGAAAACAGATGAGATGGAGACACAGGAAACGTCACATGAACTTGTTTTAGTGAAACATGTGAGGACACTGGGGAGAGACATTCACAGTGTCCTGAAGAGGGAACCTGACTCTGAAGAAAACCTACATGAATGATGGGACTGGAGATGCACTCGCCTTGCTTATAGTCATGTTTTACTTCTACTTTGTCATTACATAAAACAAAATTAAACTCAAGCCGTTTAACTGAAGGTAAAAACACCTTGCTTTGTTCATACATGGTGTGTATTTGGAGTCTCCTCCAAGCACTAAAGTCACCGCTCATGGACTTGTGAAAGAAAAACACTAGGACGCTTGGTGCTTGGTGTTAAATGACTCTTGTTCAGTGATTTCAGGGGGAGATTCACTTCATCCACACAATCAGTTTGTTTCAATACATCAATACAAATATTCAACATTTAGAGCAAATAGAAGTTTATATTTTCATGTGGAGAAATGTGAGTTTAGGTGAAGAAAAATCATCCTGAGCAGTGATATCCTCCATGGCTCCAGCTCCACCTAAAGAAACTCAAACATCAACACAACAATAAAAGAGAAGAGGTCAAAGCCCCTCCCATAATGTTTGATTGACAGGTGATCTGTGTGCATTTAGTATATGTTGTTCATTATGACATATTCCTCACTATCACCACCTGTAACACATGAGTTGGCTGCTCCAGTGACTGTACAGGACTAATGAAGATAACTGCCACCTGATTACAGCCTACATGTAGAAAATAGCAACTATGCTGTAAACAGCAAATGGACTGAATGATTACAATAAACTCAGTGGTAAAGAAATGACACCAGTTATCTCTTTACAGGTTGGATGGGTATGAAATGTGATGTATTGAAAATGCATCTTCATCATCTTCATCATCACAGTGTTAAAAATCCAGCGCCCTGGACCCAGTTTCACAGAGATACGTCAGACTGGTCTGTGGTGTTGGTCCAGTCTTCATTGTGCTCATAGATCAGTCTGATGTTAGTCAGACTGTTTCACAGCCCGAATGCTCCGCAGGTTGTCAGGCGACCTATAAATGGTTATTAGCTCAGTACAGCACTAATAGAGCTCCACTGATTTGCCGCTCCAGTCAGAGAGACTGAGAGGAAATGACACCAAGCTGAAGTTATATTATAAACTTCATATGAGAGTCAAGGCTTTTGGGAAAAATTTGTTGCTAAAGCCCCATAAGCCGCCCCTCTCTCCGCATATGCGTTTTGCCTCTCTTTGTGGTTCAGTGTGTATTTTCTTTGCTGTCGATTTGAGTGTCTTTATGGTCATTTAATTGAATTCCTATCACAAGAAATGTTGCCAGTCACTTCAGACAGAGGCTGTGGCACAGGGGCCTGCTGATCTTGTGGCCTCTGGGCCTGCACAGGTCCCTACAAGACAAGTTTCGACATCTCCAAGAGCTCCAGTTCTGCAGGAGCCTGGTATTATTCACTAAGACCACTAGATGGAGATGTAAGCCTGTGTCCTGGGAGCAGAGCTGCCACTGTTACAGGAGCACAGGAGTACTGAAGCAGCACACTGGTCCTGCATTGCATTTTGTTTTATTGAGTTCATGCATTAGACTATCATCAGAATATAAATCATTACAATGTATTGTTTTCACACATACTCAATGTCCATTCGCTATTAAATGGACACTGAGTAAAGCTTTCGGACAGTTTCTTTTAAAAACTTTTTACCCAATAAACACTCACGTCAACACTCAAACATCAGGACCTTCCGTAAAACATTCACATCAACTATTTCAACTCTGTTTCTTCTTTAAAATTTGTATTAATGAACTCTTTTGTTTTCTCCTCTGTTACAAAAGCTTTGGACATGAAGAGAGAGGAATATGAACGTCTGCCAGGGTGGAAGCAAGTGAATTTAAAGAGGATTCTCTCTCT